CACTACAAGTGGCTGTCAGGCTGTTGCGTCTGTTGTGAGCACCTCCCTTTATCTGCTGTCAGTATTAACAAGCTGATGCTCCCTTTCTTACCAGGTGAGCTCGTTATTCGCAGTGATCTGCAGTTAATCCTTTTTTTATGGTGGTAAAATATACATCAGGTAGCATAAAACTTACTGTCTGTAGGTGCACGGCACAGGACATGAAGCAGGTTCACACCCTTGTGTGACCTTCGCTGCCCCGTGGTCCATCTGCACGGCTGAGTCTCTATGCACATCGAGCACTGAGCCTTCTGCTCCCCKAGGCCGGCCAGCCACCATTGTGCTTTCTCCCTCTCTGAATTCGTCTGCTCGAGGGACCTCATATCAATGGGATCAGACAATATGTGTCTCTTTGCATCTGGCTTGTTTCACTTGTGCCCTRACTGCAGGGTGCCCCTAGGTTCTAGCGAGGTTAATCCTTTTGAAATGTGACAAATCACTCCCTAATTTGTCTTTTAAACTCCAAGCTTCATGAGCTGGGCACCCCTCTAGCGAGGATTGGTAGTAACTAAAGCTGCTAAAATTCGGGCCAGGGGCCCTGACTTTCCCATTCGTCTGCAGAGTGAGAGGTGGATGGGCAGCGCCACTCATAGATCCAGGAGGCTCTGAAGCAGGACCAGGCAGGGAACAGGCCACACAAGTKCGGGCACAGCTGGTACCTCTCTGCAGACCTCGCCAGGGTGCGGCAAGGCGCTGCTCTCAAGCAGAGCCTGGTGGCTTCCCTGCTGGGAGTCCCCTCAACACACAGCTCATGTTCTGTCACAGAGAACCTGGAAAGCAGCGACCCCCATGTTCTTGTGCTTGGTTTTCTTCTTTGTGACCTTCAGCAAAGCGTCTTAGGACCCTGAACCTTCTGCTGCTTCATTTCCAGAGCAAAAGTCAGGATGAGCATCATGAGGGCCCTTTCAGGTGGAAACCAGTTCTGGGATGATTGTTTCTGTCTTATTCCGTTGACATTTAATGTTTCCGGGACTTCAGCTCTCCCTTCCCTCTGCCTTTTCTAATATCCTTTTTGCAATTTGACTTAGTGTTTTCACTGAGTTCAGGTGGTGCTTTCAAGTGATATTTATTGAGAAAAACCCTAATTAATTACTTGTGATGGAAAAACCAGTATCACCTGTTAGGAATAGAAGACAAGTTCAAAAATAAATATAACAGAAACCAAAGAGCATCATTAAATTCCAGCTTGATCCGGTTGCTGTGCGGCGGAGGCCTGCTCTCTCTGACACCTCTCTGGAGGGGCTCCAGACCCTCTGTGGCCCACCTGAGGCCTTGTCTTTGACTCAGGYCAAAGGACAGAAAGAGAACCCAGCAATGATTAATGTATCATCTTGCAATTCAAAGCTGCTTAATTCTGTGATGGTTTGGCACCTAACCTTCTCTATTCTGTGGCTATTCTGATATTGGGATAAGCTCTGCGTCAAAAACACCAACTTTCTGGATTTAAAGGTGGGAGGCAAATGTTCATTTAGTTCCAATTCTGTGCCAGTTACTACTGTAAACATTTTATGAACTTTGTGTCAGCTTCACCACGTCACTGTCGGGGTGGATAATTTTCCTGCCCTCATGTTACAGATGAGGAAACTGAGGCTTCTAGAGGTTTCATAACCAGTGGCCGCATCCCCTCTGTACATGGGTGCTGTAAGCTCCATGTGACGTTAAATCTTGGAGCTAAAGCCCACGTTTGACTGGCTCAGGGTTTGAGAACTCTGTGTGTGTGTTGATTAATACTGCTTTTCCGTTCAAGTGCCAAGAACATGGGCTAATCTAGATTTCTATTAATCTTGTGTCAGCAGTCATGACAGTTTTACAGGAGAGGCTGATAAACATCAGTCTGTGAGGATGGGAGTGGGCCACAACGTAAACACATTCTCCGGCCCAGCAACAAGGGTGCCCAGACCCGCCGGAACCTCCCGGTTCCGTGCCAGTGTGCACGTGTGCTGCAGGAGCCTCTCAAACACACGTGTGTTTGGAAGCGCCTACGTGCCCCGGGCCCCGTGAGCTCCGCTGTGGCTGCAGCCAGAGCGAGGCTGAAGCCTAGGGACCTCTTGGGATCCCCAGGACTGCACTCATTCCATTCCTCTTCTGATTGACAGGGCACACTTCATAAAGCTCCCAACCTACTTCCTGCGAGCGAGTCAGGGGCCTTGATAAGAAAGTGGAATTCGGGGCAATTAAGTGCAATCTGAGCCCCGAGAATGTGTTTTCTGAGGGTGGCTGTACACCAGCTGCTTTCAATGGCATTCCATTCATTCAAGGATGGCTTTTTTTTTTTTTTTTACAAAATAGGCGTATTCTAGGGGCTTCTTTCAGAACAGAGCCTCAGTGGTGTTCAGGCTGGGCTGTTCTCTGGGCACGGGAGTCACTCATCTTACTTATAAGCCTCCAGTGGAAACCAGCCTGGGGAATGGYAGAAACCCACAGGGACTCTGTGTGCAAGTCTGACTTGAAATGTGCAGGTGGCCCCAGGGCAGCGTGGCCCAGAGACACGGGTGTTTACATTGCCGCTTACTAGTTACCTCTTAGAAGGAGAACCTCATCTCCTTCTTTTAAATTGTGGCACAATATCCATAATTCCACCATGCACAATGGTTTCATTAATGAGGTTCTTGGCATAAAAGTTAGTTAGAAGAGATAGAAATAAAACACACAGACTCAGTTACCTTATTTCTTTTGCCAGGTCCGAGACGGCTCCCCTCTCTGGTTCCCACCTCTAACCGCCCAGCAGGGCAGCAGCAAGGCTTACTCAGGGCTAGCAGGAGAGAGAGAGAGGGTGGGCATGCCAGGGAGTAGCCTTTTATTGGGGAACAAGAGATTCAGGGAAGAATTCCATCCAATGAAGGTTGAGGGGGGGCCGCACTCCAAGGTCAGGGTCAGTGATTGGGCCCCTGGGGTCAGTGGTCAGTCAYACCCCCACACAGATGGGTTCTCTCATCAGGAGAGGGCCGGGAAAGTTCYKACACAGCCAGAGCGCCTCAGACCCTAACCGGGAGTCACCCAGTCACGTGTCAGGATGGCYCCCCACACATAATGTAAAACTGACCATTTTAAAGTTTTTTTTTCTGTACAGTTCAGCAGCATGAGGACATTCACATTGTTGTATGAATGTGGTCTTTATAGGATTAGAGAATACAACAGTGACTGTGAATCATGATTTGTTCAATAAGCAGTTAATTTTATTATTATTATTATTACTATCTTTTTGCATTATCTGTTAATTAGCTTGTGATTTTCAAAATGGAATGCATACTGTTCAAAATATAATGCTTGGTGGCAAGTGTTTCTTGGGTAGGGACAGGTGCTAAGCACTGGGTGATTACAGAGATGAGGGGAAGATGTGGCACCTGCCAAGTGCCCCAGGGGACTCAGAGTCTGGTGGGAAAGGCAAATATGTGTATGTAGGTGTATATATGTGTGTATAGTGTACAGATGTGTACGTGTGTATATATGTGTCCACATGCTCTATATGTACATAATTACATGTGGAAGTGCAACTGTAAAGATAATAAAACACTCCCAGAAACCAGAGAAGAGAATGACCCCAAGAAGCGTGCGGTACAACTGATGTGAGGTGAAGTAAGACACGTGCACAAAACTTGCGGCTTATGAAGCACTTTTGTTCTCAAGGTCTTGACTTGCTTTCTTATTCTCACATTAATTCCATGAGCTAGAACAGGGTAGGATCATGGATTCCTATTTTCTGGTGGCTCGGCAGAGGTTCAGAGTTGCTGAGTGACCTGCTCAGTGACAGAGTTTAGGCTGAAATATGAGGACTCAAAGCCTGATGCTCTGTGTGCACTTTATATTGGGTCAAATAGAGCTCTGATCYGAGTGCGGGTGGATAAGTAGTGCTCTCAGTTGTGTAGGTCAGAATTTCCCACAGTGTGATGCCCATACCACCACGGATGCAGTGTAATTTGGGATAGACCACAGAGAAACAATTTTTAAATTAATAGTCATACAATAATCTCCCCTCATTCAGGGTTTCAATTACTATGGTTTTAGTTACCTACAGTGAATCAGGGTCGAAAATCATTACATTGAAAATTACAGAAATAAACAATTTTGTGTATTTAAAATTATGTGCCATTCTGAGTATTGTGTTGAAATCCTCTGCCGTCCATTTGTATCCTGTCTGCGAAGTGAATCATGCCTTTGTCCAGTGGATCCACACTGTATATGCTACCCATCCATCAGTCACGTAGCCATCTTATTTATCACAGTGACTATTGTAGTGTTGAAATGTCTGTGTCAAATGACCCTTACTTTACTTAATCATGGCCCCAGAATATAAGAATATGATGCTGGCAATTAATCTTATTACAGTATATTTTTATAATTGTTCTATTTTATTGTTAGATATTATTGTTAAAGTCTTTTTGTGCCTGTTTATAAATTAAACTTTACCATAGGTATATATTTATGGGGTAAATATATTTATATATTGGTGCTGTCTCAGGTTTTAGCATTCATTGGGGGTCTTGGAACATGTTCTTCACAGATGGTGGGGGAGCTATAAATGCTTTAATGTTCATAAGAAATATTAAGTAGGTGACTTTGTGGGAGTTATTTCTCAGAGCAGGTCTCAAGTTCAATGGAGAATCCATATGAAGAGTAATTGTAGGGCTGGGGTTGTGGCTCAGTGGCAGAGCGCTTGCCTCGCACATGTGAGACACTGGGTTCGATCCTCAGCACAACATAAAGTTAGATAAACAAAATAAAAAATATTTTTTAAAAAAGAGTAATTGTAAGTAACAGAGCATGTGGTCTGCAGATGTGGTGGAGCTGGTAATGGGTGCTGTGGCCTGGGAAACCTTGGCCCAATTGTCCTTGGATGGAGACTCAGGACTAGAGAGGAAATGGCCCAGGTGCCCTCATCTGCTCTCTTTTGAACTGGTTGAAACTGGTTTGAACTGATGGCCAATGCTAACAAGTCTTGTTGGGTCTTCTTCTCTTTATAGATTGCTGACTTTGGGCTTTCCAACCTGTAYCAGAAGGACAAGTTCTTGCAAACATTTTGTGGGAGCCCCCTCTATGCATCCCCTGAAATCGTCAATGGGAGGCCTTACCGAGGGCCAGAGGTAAGCAGGCTGCCTGGTGTACAGGGGGTGAGGCAAGAACTGGATCTGGGAAATTCTTTAAAAACCCAGAAGAGAAGCAGAGAAAATAGAGTTTTACAGTGTAGACCTTTGCACTTCAAGAATAATTAAGATCACAGAAATAATTGGGACCATCTAAAAATAGTTGAGATCAAGTTAATAAAGGGCAAGATGTCCATAATGTGACATATACATATATATAAAATCTATCTATCTTACCCTTTATTAATTTAAAATTGTATTGTGACATCTTCCAAATATATTATCATTAAAAAATGATTTGTACAACATAATGTCATATAGTATGAATATGACATATTATATTTAATAATCTCCCCTTGATTTGGATATTCAGCTTTTCCATATTGTATCAAAACAAATAGAACAAATGAGCAAAGAAAGAAGAAACTCCTGACTCTTCAAGTGAATATTATTTTGCACATATTTTTAATAGCATAAGTATTTCTTTCTTTTTTCTTTTTTTCCACATTTTTTTTATTGGTGCATTACACTTCTACATATTTTGGGGATTTGTTGTTACATATTCACACGTGCACACAATATGACAAAGTAATTTGACCAGTATCCCTCCCCAGYGCTCCCCACCCTCCGCCACCCATTCTTGGTTTCTTTCCTCTGTTGATCTCCCCTTTGATTTATTGGAGATCCACCTCCACGTTTGTTTTCCTTTTTCCTCTCTAGCTTCTGCATATCAGAGAAAACAGGAACCCTTCACCTTCTGAGTTTGACTTATTTTGCTTAACATGATGGTCTCTAATACCATCCATTTTCTTGCAAATGTCATAATTTCATTTTTCTTTATGGCTGAATAAGACTCCATTGTGTATATGCACCACATTTTCTTTATAYGTTCACCTGTTGATGGACACCTAGACAGGTTCCATAGTTTGGCTATTGTGAATTGTGGATGTCACTGTAGTAAGATGACTTTCCTTCAGGATAAATACTGAGAAGTAGGACAGATGGGTCCTATGGTGATTCCATGCCTGTCTTTCAGGAGCCTCCACACTGATTTCTATAGCGGTTGTACTAATTTACAGTCCCGCCAACAGCAGGACATGTATTTCACTTAGGAAATATGTTTTAATGGCATCTTCTATTTCAGGAGAGAATGTATTCCTCTGTATGCCTAAAGCTTTCAGGGCTGCTGCAAGATGTATACGTATAAAATGRTTATTTTGAAAGTAGGTTAGTTGTGGGTGATGATTCTCTTTTAAGATGGTTCTCTTTACAGAGAGGTTCATCCACTTAATATCCTTTAAATAGCAGCTGCTCAGTGTGTGGAAATGTTTTTTTCTAAATATTTATCTATTCCAGAGTGTTTGGGGCAGGGCTGGGGGTGGGGGTGAAGAGAAGGATACCAGTGTCTCCACCAATTCCCGAAGAGAAAGTCTTTTAAAACTAGACTGTAAGGGAGGAGCATCGGGTTTAGTTTACAAAATTGCAGGAACTCAATGCTGTAAATTTATCTTAGGCAATGAATGCTGCTTTGGTGATGATCGGTATCCGAGGTTACAAGCTGGCGATCTCTCATCTGGCTTTATTTGGCCACATTTGTCCTGATAAAAAATTGAACAGACATTTAATAATTGGGAGATTTCATAGAGAAGTGTGGTTTCTGACTTCTCTTTGAAAACAAAAGGTGGTGGTGGTGGTGGGCCCTCATTTCTACATGGCAGCAGTGATCCAAGGAGAGGTGGCCTATCCGAGATGGGTGGGTGCCCTCTACAGCACTGTGCATTGTACCCCAAATTCTTTCTTCCTCTGTTCATGTGGGTTGTGTGCCTGACTCTTGTAAAAATGTCCACTGGAAGCCTCCCCAATCCATTGGAAGAAGAAACAGGAAGGAATTGATTCCCATATTAGGAATGAAGAGTCACATGTCCCAGTTTTACCCCCTGGAGAAACCTTGTAGCTGCCTTGTGCCTCTGTGTTCTCATCTGTCAAATGGGGCTGAGAATAATCCAAGCCCTACTCGCCTCACTACAGTGAGGATCAAAGAAGATAACCTACTTAGGAAAGTTCTTCAATAGGTCAGGCCTGCATTAGGATCAGTTGTCAGGCTGTGGTGGGATCCTGTCTGCCAGGGGCTACATTCAGTTCCTGGGGGCATTGGGGGTGACTTCTCTCATGCTGTGATGCTGATGGTCTGGAACGCATCCCAGGAAACGATTTCTCAGCTCCTCTGTGTCCTGTTTCTCTGCTCCAGGTGGACAGCTGGGCCCTGGGCGTGTTGCTTTACACCCTGGTTTACGGAACGATGCCCTTCGATGGTTTCGATCACAAAAACCTCATCCGGCAGATCAGCAGCGGAGAGTACCGGGAGCCGACGCAGCCCTCAGGTGCGTGCCCTGTGGAGGGGGTCAGCTCACCTGCCCGGCTCACACTCTGCTTTATCTGTGTGTCGTGAGTCGCCCGCCTTCCTCCTTCATTTTTCTGGAGGGCTGTCTTTGGCACAGCTGGCTCATGGGGCTGCTTTATCAGACTTTCCCAGGTGAACTCTGCTGAGCAGATGTTCTGCATAGCAGCCCGGGGGCTGGTCTCACTGTGTGAAYTTGGGCAAGTCAGCCTCTTGGATTCAGTTTCTCTACGATATACRAAGTCCCTTCCAGCCATGTAGACATAGAAGCCACCCTCCCTGGACTGTTAGTGCCACAAGGGTGCCCGTCACCTGACTGCTGTGCCTCTGCCCAGGTTGGCTTAGGGCTCTGTTTCACTATCTCTGGTTGCATCACGACTCTCCTGTTCCCCAAAACAAACTCAAAACAACTGCTATGTGATCTTATCATTCCCCCCCYCATCTCTGGGTTAGGCAGGGCTCTCTGGCCTTGCTTGGGGCTGCTGCTGGGGCTATTGCACCCCTCAGTGCTTGTCCCCGTGGTGTCTCCCCACGGCCTGTCGTTCCAGGACAGAGCCTGGACATGGCAGCTCCGGGCTCTAAGAAGGAGGGAGCTTCCCAAGGAGGGAGAAGGAGCTGCCAGTGTTCTTACTGACTTGGCTAGGAAGCCAGCAGGCTCTACTGGTTAAAGCAACCCAGGTCATAAGCTCCATCTCTTCATGGGAAAACAACATGTGTGGACAGTGAGAACGTACGGGCGGCCACCGTGGAATGTAGTTAACACAAGCATTTCAGTTATGTTCGTAACGTACACACAGTCGATCCTCATTATCCCCAATAGTTATGTCCTGTAAAGTTGCTGCAGTCACCGAACCACTGCTTCTAGGGAAAATACAGTGAGATGTCCGTGAACTTCCAACCACAATGTATTTGTCTGTTGATCAGTGCTTATCTTATCTTTTGTATATTTATTTTTAAAGTCCCTAATTTAATATGTATGATTGATTCTTTAACCTCAAACTCCCTGGCCAACGGCACTTTTGCTCCTGTCTGAGCAAAGCGTGTAATGTATGTTTTTTTTCCCCCCTTGGGGCACAGGACAATCTTTTTTGCACTTGGGGACACTTGCACCTGGGGACATTAGAAAACACTTCAGTAATTTGTTTGGGTCCATTTTAAGTGGCAGAATCACAGCAGAAAGTGCAAAAATGTGAAAAMCATGGCACAAGTAGGCTGAGAAAGGGACAGTCGTTTATGGTCCAAAAGCTGGCACATGTGTGCACGGGTGACAAATGCCTCAYGCTCCGTGTGTGTGCAAAAGCAATGGCCATGGAGCTGCGAGGTTTGATTGTGGGATGATAGATACGTTTTCGTGAGTAGGAGAATTGGCAAATATGGAATCCGTGGATAATGAGGACTGACTGTTGTCTCTATCGATATGCAYATGTCTATCTGTCTGTGTGTTTTTTCAATAAACCAGTCTGTTCTTTTTGGGGGAATTTCAGGGTGACTTCTGTGGCRGTTCTTATTTACCTCACTAGCTAACTGGTGCCAGTGAAATCTCTGGCATGYGGTAGGGGTTTAGGAAAGGCTTTTTGAATGACTGAAGGATCACCCTATTGCTTTTCAGGGGTGCCTCTCACCCCAACCCCACTGCAGGGTCTTTGCCAGCTGCTCATTGCTGTACGAGTGGCTCAGGGAGGCGGCCGCTTCCCAAGATAGAATTCATCTCCTGTGGGGGCTGAATGGTTTGACCCTAAAAGTCAACTTATTAGCTGTAGAAGTCACTGATTTTGTTCTGTAGCCTCCTGAACATCTCTCTGGGCCTTTCCCCCAGTTTTCTGGCAGCAGAAATTTGCAAGGGTTTTGTTTTGTTTTTTTTTTTTCCCCCAAATTGGCTGTGAACACCTGGTAGCAGAGACAGACAGCTGCTGTCTGACCGACAGCTYGGTGGACACAGATGCCCACTTATGTCAGACAGGGAAAGAGGTGAGCTCACTGGGTGTGGCTCTCAGAAGCTAGCCAAGACCTCAGGGTGAGGCCAGTTTGGGGGACAGCGGCTCTCCCTGCCCAGGTGTGTCAGGTAAGAGCCACTCCTGGCACAGAGGGGCTCCTCTCTGTGCTCTGCCTCCAGTTCCTTTTTCCCAGTGGCCACGAGTGCTGTGTCTGGGTGCGTCCACCTTCAGAGGAGTGACAAAAGCCATGGTGATGGACACCTTTTCCTTGGAGTGAAATGATCTTCACCAAAAGAGTAGGGGTCCCTGCTTGGGTGGGGTTTGAATTCTTTGGAACTTGGAAGACCTGAGATGACAGAAGTTCAGTCGTTCCATGACATTCCTTCACTCATGGAAGAACAGGCCGGGATGTCATGGCCCGTGCTTCTGATGGGCAGTCTGAAAGGCTTGGGCTTCTCGCTCCAACGTGTAGCTGGACCAGACCTGCAAATGGCTTTTTTTTTTTCCTGGTAAACTCCAAAGCCCCCGTGCCATGGCCTGACTTTTTCTGTCTCTCGTCCCCTAGATGCTCGAGGACTCATTCGGTGGATGCTGATGGTGAACCCCGATCGCCGGGCCACCATTGAGGACATTGCCAACCACTGGTGGGTGAACTGGGGCTACAAGAGCAGCGTCTGCGACTGCGACGCCCTTCACGACTCCGAGTCCCCGCTCTTGGCGCGGATCATTGACTGGCACCACCGATCCACGGGGCTGCAGGCTGAGGCGGAAGCCAAGGTGAAGGGCTTGGCCAAACCCGAGGTCATGCTGGAGCGACAGCGGTCGCTGAAGAAATCCAAGAAAGAGAATGACTTTGCCCAGTCTGGCCAGGACTCGGTGCCCGAAAGCCCTTCCAAGCTGAGTTCCAAGAGGCCCAAGAGCATCCTGAAGAAGAGATGCAACAGTGAGCACCGCTCCCACAGCACGGGCTTCATCGAGGGGGTCGTGGGTCCCACCTTGCCCTCCTTTAAGATGGAGCAGGACTTGTGCCGGACTGGTGTGCCCCTCCCCAGCTCCCCCGAAGCAGATGTGCCAGGGAAACTGAGTCCCAAGCAGTCGGCCACCATGCCCAAGAAAGGCATCTTGAAAAAGACCCAGCAGAGGGAATCGGGCTACTACTCGTCCCCAGAGCGCAGCGAATCTTCAGAGCTGCTGGACAGTACCGAGGCCCTGGGCAGTGGCCTCCCCTCCCCCAGCCCCCCGGACCTGGCCAGGGTGGCTTCTCACAGCCTGTCCTGCCGGAGGAAGGGCATCTTGAAACACAGCAGCAAATACTCAGCAGGCGCCACCGACCGGGCCCTCGCCAGCCCCGAAGTGCCCACACTGGAATCCTTGACAGAGCCCGGTGTCCCYGCTGAGGGCCTCTCCCGAAGCTACAGCCGTCCCTCCAGCGTCATCAGTGACGACAGTGTCCTGTCCAGCGACTCCTTGGACTTGTTGGATTTGCAGGAGAACCGCCCCGCCCGCCAGCGCATCCGCAGCTGCGTCTCTGCTGAAAACTTCCTCCAGATCCAGGACTTTGAAGGACTCCACAACCGGCCCCGGCCCCAGTACCTGAAGCGGTACCGGAACCGGCTGGCAGACAGCAGCTTCTCCCTCCTCACGGACATGGATGACGTGACTCAGGTCTACAAGAAAGCGCTGGAGATTTGCAGCAAGCTCAACTAGCCCTCCGGGGCCCCGGGGGATGGGGTGGGTGGGAGCGAGCGAGGGAGGAAGGGCCGCGGGGCTTGTGCTGACAGGCTGGTTACCTCTCTGCTGGCCTGGACAACAGACTGAAAAAGGATTGGCGCCGTCTGGCTTGGCCAAGTTGACAGCCTTGAGCCAGCACCTAAAAGGGAGAAGCAGGCGCCCAGCCAGTTCTGCCAACTGCTAGTCAGAATTTGGGTCCTAATTGGTATTTGCATACGGCACCTCCTAGAGGACCAGCTGCCCAGGGAGGGTGGTGTTGGCTGGCGCTTGGTGGGAGTGGGGAGCAGACGGGGAAGGAGGCATTTCCCTAGAAGTCATGCGGATGCTTTGGAGGAGGGCAAGAGAAACCAGGACCATCTGCTTTGGATGAGCCCAAAGAGCTTGCTCCTTTGCTTCTAACATTAGCAAGCTTGATCTGACTGCATGGGGCTGGCAAGATTTCAGCAACCCGGGCTTGAATTGGTGATCGATTGATAATGTCTATTGGGTGTGTTGGTTTCCGTAGCAGCAGAGAGCTGTGATTGAATAGTGATGGCTGCCACGGGAAGGGAAAGGGAGGCAATAGCATTCATGCTGCGACGTACTTGTCATCTCTGACCTGGCTGAGCCCTGGGAATCAGGTTAAAGCATTCTGTGGGATCTACATTAACTCTTCCTGCCACCACTGTGGCATTTGTTAATTGGCTAATCTACCTTGAATGGAAAACAGGGCTTTGGGCAGAGACTGCTCTGAACTCTGCTAGGGACACAGTCAGCCCATGGTGATCGTGTCTCCTTGCTGTGTGTCTTGCTCTTCAGCAAGAGAGTGGACAGAGAGAAAGAAGACAGTGTCAGAGGCCGGAACTCTCGTGTATTCTAGCGCAAAAGGCCTTCTGTGGCCTTTGCACAGTTGAACGGAAGAGGAAGTTCACTTGCAAGGGGCAGCTTGTCTCTTCTCTCATGTCTTAATAGTAACTGGAACGCTGCCTTTTGCTTTGGACTGGAGGTGACATTGCCCACAGTCTCTAAAGGATGACTGCCTGGCTCAGTTACTGGCTCTGTCCACAGAGAGCAAGTGGTCTCCCATGCACCCAGCAGAGCGCCCTCCGAGGTGGAAGAGTTTGCTTCTGGGAATTAGCCCGTAGGTGGAATATTTGGATGAAGAAAGGAAAGTCAGACAGGAGGTGCTTTATTCCCCAAATCTAAGGATTCTGTCACGGTTTTGAACGTTGACACCAACTCCTGGGCTTTAGGGAGAAAGAAAGTTTGATCCATTTAAACGAATAAGGTGTCAGAAGAGCCGAGTGGGTGAGAAGGAAGCAGAGAGGAGAAGAATATTTCTTTAGGAGTCATCCAGATGGTTCTGGAGGAGGCAGAAGAGAGGTGGCAGGACTCCCTGAGCGCACTGGGAAGCCAGATCGTAGCTGACAAGCACTCCCACAGGGGACATCTCGGGGGTACAGTCTCTGAAATTACCCGTCTCTCTGGGTTGACTCTAGTTTCTAGAGGCTTAGGAAAATCAGAATCCTTATTTCAAGGTGGTCGGTTTCATAGCCACTTACAGCCGGGAGGACTGATCTTGGGATACCGTTAAAAAAACCAGAATTCATTAAGAACATGCATTAGGATGACATCGCCCTTGCCTTCCGGAGATGGTTCTGGCTTGTGCTTTCCTTCAGGTCGGGCTGAGCCATGTGCTATGAGAAGCTGCTTAGTTTCCTTTCATTCAATTCCACTCCTTGCTCAACTCCAGTAGAGTTTAAAAGGGACAAAGATCTATCGAGGGCAAGTTGTGTTTGGGAGCATGGGGGTGCGTGAAGGGCACCCTGCAGCCTCTGAGCGCTCGCTCTCTCTCTCTCTCTCTCTCTCTCTCTCTCTCTCTCTGTCTCTCTCTGTCTCTCTCTGTCTCTGATCTATAATCTTTTCTGACCAGCCTCTCCTGCCGCACTGCTGGCCCCAGATCACACCCGGCCTTGCTGACAGCTGGCGTGTGACTTAGGTGTTAACACCCACCTGCTTACCGGCCAATGTGTTTTTCCCTTTTGCCAAGTGRTTGCATCTGCTTAGCATTTTCCATGGCTCTAATCTTTAAGTGAAAATGACACTATTAAGGAAAATCATTCCGCTCCTGCCTCCCAAACACCTGCATGTTCTCTTTTGTCAATAAACTTGGTGCATCGTGGCAAAGGACATCCTCCCTTCAGAGGCAGAGACTCAGAGTCCAGACCTGGTCTGCCGCTAGATGGCTGGTGGCCTTGGGCACTGCAGGATGGGGGCTGTTCTCCTCTCCAGCAGGGCTGCAGGGTGGGTGGGGTTGGTTGGCCTCTCAGGCTCTGTCCAGTTCCGACATTCTTCTGACATCCTCTGGTTTCTGGACGTGATGTCAACTCTCCTTTCAAGGAAAAAYTTTGAAAGCTCTGCTTCCTGACCAAGCTCTGTCCACCCCACCAGCCAGTCCCCAGCCAAAGAAGTTGTGCTTGGTCCATTTCCATGGAGTCACAGGCGAGGACAATTTGATGACCTGCTTTGGAAGCAGGGGATGGGACGTCCGCTCTCCTGGTCCTTCCTTGCCTCTGTGGGGTTGGTTTTTTTTTGGCGTCTTCGTTTACACATCTGCCAAAGGGGTAGAATTATACTTCTTTTTACAGGTAAATTTCAAGGCAAGATCAGTTTTCAGGAAGTGCTTCAAGACCCCAGGCAACAGGAAAATACTAAGTACCCTCTGAATTTCCATCCCTGTTACCAGGTGGTGCTTCTTCGAGGAGCACTTTCCAGGGTGAAATTCAGGCGTTTTGCCCAGGCCTGCTGTCTTGAATACAAATGTGAATGATCGACTGACTGCTTATTGCCAAACTGGAAATGTTCTGTAGGGATTTACTGGCATGGTATCATTCCTAGGAGAAAAAGGAAAAAAAAAAAAAAAAAAGGGAGAGAGAGAAGGAGAAACTTGACTGCACATTTAAAAAAAAAAAAAAAAGAATCCGTGTTGTGACTTTTTATTTAATTTCTATTTTTTTTTGGTAATAAAAAGTTGACTTTTTAATTTGAATTTGTCTTTTTTTTTATTTATTGGTCTGAAAGGCATTTCAAAGGTATTATAATAATATATTGGTGTAATTTAATTGGTGCAACGTGCTTTACGGCTCCAGTCAAAATTGGTTTTCACTCGTTTGATTGGTTTGAGAACAGCCTTCGGGGAGGAAAAAAAAAAAAAGCTGGATAACCACCCAAAGTGTTTGTATTTTTCATTGGAAACTGATTTTTTTGCTTTGTTATTTTTTTTTTGGTTGTTTCTGTTTTTATTTTTAAATTAAATAAATGGCAACGAACTGAACTGAGACTTGCTTCTTTATTTACTCGTCTTTCTCAGTCAAGGAAGTGACACAGCGGGTGGAAGTCCTGGAAATCTACCCAGGCGGGCTCAGTTACCAAGGGGGAGTTTGTATTCAGAGTCCTCAGAAGGGGCCGCAGCCCACCACGTGCCGGAACCAAAGCTGGAGAGCAGTGGGAGCCTGGAGGACTCGATCCTCTCTCTCCTGCTCGATCCTCTCTCACCAGCTTTATTCTCCTTAATGTCAGACGACATCCAACCCTACCCTAGCACCAGCCGGAGAGAGTTATGCTCTGCTGGGTCCATGTAAGAAAAGTCTGGCCAAAGAAATGACAGCACATGTGTCCTTTTCTGGTCTCCTGGAGGAGCATCAGATGAGCGTGGTCACACATTTCACGTTTCTCCTCCCTGGTTGTGGGACCACCTTGACCTGCCCAGTAACTTCCCAATTGACATCTTCTTGGTTAGAGTTTCCAAGAGGGAGGAATGGCCGGGTTCCTTCGGTGTCATCGAAAGCTAACCACTTAGCCAGCGTGCTCCCGAGCTTCCCTGCCCACCCCCTCCCAAGCACTGTCCTCTTCTCCCAAGGCAGACGGATTGTTAACTTGATGGATCAGGGTCAAGAGCAATGGCTATGTCTTCTTAGAAGCGGCCACCAGTCTCATTTGGCCACCATTTCTTACATGAACAGACCCCCCCTAGAAAGTTCTTGGAAAGAATGAGCAGTAGGGTGAGACTGAGGAGTCCCTGGGTCCTGGCCATCCTATCAAATGGAACCAGACTCTACCCTGTACCCGACGTGAGGGTCGTGCTCTGCACCCAGGGGTGGTGTTTCCAGGTCTGTGCAAGCAAACTCGGACTTTGCAAAGAAATGACAGCTCATCTTCTGGAAGAACCTCAGTCACAGCAAACAAAACTACAGGATGCCCAGTGACATCTGAACTCCAGGTAAATCATGAATGATTTTTGAGGGATTTTTTTAATTAGCGCATTTTAGTTAAACATGATATTAGGGTTCATTTACCTAGAATATCATTTGCTCTCATTCAGTCCCCAGAACTTCCCATTTCTCTGCTCTTCTCCCTTCGTTCCCTTTCTGCTGACCTTTCTTCCATTCAGTTATAGTTGTTTAAAATCACTGCATTACGGATATGCAAAAAGGCGAGATTCACCGTGGTGTATTCGTGCATGTACGTAGGAAAGCTGGGTCAGGTCATGCCACTATTCTTCCCTTTTCCCATCCCTCCTTCCTCTCTTTCATTTCCTTCTTCTAATCCACTGGTCTCCTATTTAATCATGAGTGATTTTTTAGTATAAGTGTACCTCATCCAATATTTGGGCCATGTTTATACTGAAAAAATTCATTACCTGAAATTCAGATTTTACAGGGTACCCCATATTTTATATGGCAAGCTAATCTGATGGAACTTCATTGGCGAAGTTGACCAGGTGCTGGGTATCGTCAGGGACTGGGGAGAGGATGCTGATGATGGTGGCCCACTGGATCAGAACGTGTTGGTGCCTCTCATGGTGGGCTGCAATGGGAAGGTTCCAATTCCAGGCTGGACTTGACCTTACTGAGTTGAATTGCTGCAACTCCTTGGGCCTCAGTTTTCTCAACTGTCCGATTAAATTGTTCTCTTGCCGATTTCGAACAGGGCTCCTAAGGAATGAGAGAGTTTCTGTGAAGTCACCTATTAGATCTTGAGTCTAAAACTCATTATGAATGGGAAATAGTAATCCTCTTGATTACAGGGCAATATGCATTGACTTTTTGACATTTACTTAAAGGCAACGTGTCTGATCTGCAGACTCTTAATTCTCACTGCCATGATTACCTGGGCAGTCATTTGCGGAGGAAGGGGCTTAAAAATGAGACCCTTTGGAAAGACATAATTCTGCATCCAGACCAAGGGAACTGCTTGGGCTCAGCTCAGRGGCTGGACCAAATGGGAGGTATGAAGGTTAATAAGGGAATGGGGGTGACCACAGTGGAGGAGGTTGACATGTTGTCAACTGTTGGTGGAGTTAATGGACCGTGGTTACTTAAAGGAGGAAAATCGAGAGAACATTTACTGAACTTGATACTCACTGCATCTGTGGTGACAATTGGCAGGAACTCACTCAGACCATGTTAAGTACCAAGAGGAATTTCTGCTTCATAGAACTGAGAACTCCAAGAATTATGTCTCAGGCACAGCTGGATCCAGGGGCTCAAGGGAAGTCATTGGCTGCATCACTCACTCTCACTGTGAACTTCCTTCTTAGGATCTCTCCATGGGGTAGCAAGACAGTTCTTAGCCATAGTAAGTTTATGAGATCCTTTTAGAATGTCATCCGGAGTCAGGGGGTTCTTACTGTCCTAATTGTTATGGAACAAGGAAGGACTATGATTGGCTTTCCTTGGGTCACATGGCTCCTTCTGGCCCAGTCAGAGTCCAGGGGAAGAGGCACTCTGATTGGCCAGTGTGGATCATGTGCCTACCATTTTGTGGTGTACTTGAATGACATCTCCTTTAGAATCACACACGGGGAATGCAGATCCATCAAAGGGATGCAGAACGGACAAGGAATAACCCACGTTAATTACAAGTTTTTAGCATTAATATACTCAACTATAAAACAGCATTAAGCAATCCCTAACTTTTAGAGTTACTACAATGATTACATTAAGTAAAGTACAGAGCAGTGCCTGGTACATATAAGATTTTAAATTCATATGGCTGACCCCAATGAAGACAGCAGTAGTAATACTACATAAAGTAGATATATTTGTCAGAAGGTCATCTATAAAATCATAAAATTCAACTGAAATTGGTTAAAACACTACCTAGGCTTTATTAATAAAGCTCGTCTTGGGCTGGGGATGTGGCTCGAGCGGTGGCACGCTCGCCTGGCATGCGTGCGGCTCTGGGGTTTGATCCTCAGCACCACATACAAAACAAAGATGTTGTGTCCGCCGATAACTAAAAAATAAATATTAGAATTCTCTCTCTCTCTCTCTCTCTCTCTCTCTCTCTCTCTCTCTCTCTCCCTGTCTCTTTAAAAAAAAATAAAATAAAGCGCATCTACCTGGAATCCTAAAGGTGGGATAGATTTCATGGTTACTAAGGTCTGGTGGGAGAAGTGCACAATAAACAAGTAAATGAATAAAATATCCCAAATTACATGTAGAAATAAGTGCTATGAAGGAAATTGTATGTGCCAAGGTCCTGGGGTCTTCAAAACACAGTTTTGCAGGGTTAATTTCTGGTTTGTTGGCATAGGAAAATCACAGTCCAGGGAGCATGGTGTTTTGTTAAACATGTGTGGCCACAGTCTAGTATGGTCTGACTGTGATCATTTATGACTTTGGATCCTTAATTACAAATGGCTGCTTCCTTCAACAGGTGGTCCCCAGACGAGACATATGCTGTGATGTGCAATTTTAAATGAGAATATGTTTCCATTGCAAAAATTCACTGCCAATTTATTGAAATTTATGGAAAGGATGTTTTTAATCCACAACACAATCATGCAAAGCTGGAGGCATGGAAATGGAGCAGCAGTGATATTATATGAAGACACACAAAGTTCAGAATAATGTTTTGGTGTCACTAGATCTGCCCGTAAGAGTACCATGGTCTGATTCCATTATGAGATTGTAGGGGAGAATAGCAATGAAATGTACTTTAAAATCGTGGCAATTATTTTTCTCCTGAGGAAAAGTTCATAGTGCTCACCTCTATCTGACTGGGGAATGAATGAATATTCATTACATCTTGGCCTACGTTCTTTGGCCTACACTCTGTGCTAGTTTTTGTTGGTGAATTAGTCTGGTTAGGCTCTGTTATGCTGAAGTAACAAATAATCCCCCAAATGTCAGTGGTCTATTACAGAAAGCAATCGTCTCTTCCTTTCACTAAGTCAGTACATGTCGGGTGGCTCTCTTCTCATGTGGCTTTCAAGTAGGCCCACGGGTACCTGAACTTCTCCCAGCTTCGTCTCTGCCATCACAGGGTTCTACATGTGTGACTCTGTGACTATCTCATCTCTTTTAARGTTCCCTTATCTCCATTTGTACAGAGGTGGAAACAGCTTTGAGAAAGTGCAGTAACTTGCCCAAATCACCCAAATATGGAGCTGGATTCAAATGTGGGCCTGGCTGACCTCCTTCTGAGCTCAGGCTGTTAATTGCTCTGTTGAGCATCTGTGATGATCCTGCTGCGACTCAGTCTCCTTGRCCACGAGCCCCAGCCTGTCACCATCCCTGTTCATAGAAAAAGCATTTTCCTGCAGGATCTGAGCAGATCGGGAAGGAAGACACTGGCCCAGGTGAGTACATTCTCCAAAGAAAAATGGAGAGCAGAACAACTGCCCCTTACTCCCACGGATGTCACCTTCTAGAAGACCCAGCTCTAACGGGTGGATTAGTGGAATGATTTGAGTTTTGTAGCCACTCTGGGGTGGAGTAAGGTGAAAGGGCTCATCTTTCTCCATGAGCCTCTGTAACGGCTCAGAACTCACTAGAGGGGACCCGGGGGCCTTCAGGATCAGGAGCCTTGCGCTCAAAGCTGTGTATTCATACAGCCCCACAAGGCTCCATGGGCTCTTTCCTGTGCCCCAGCTCAC